ACCCATACTAAGCTTTCGCAATCCTAAGAAGTTGCCTGTGTAAGCCCCAGCCATATATGTCTCCTGCTCAGGAGGAGAAGATGACTAGCGAGACTGATGCAGCCCAGGCGGTCATTGATCGCGATCAGAACTCTTTGTCGATATCAAAGACGACTCCGAAGCCAAAGGCTAAGAGCGGTAGCAAGATGGACTAGGGAGTGCATCCGAAACACGGTGCCGCTACATGCCTTATCATTATCCAGTAGTATAACCCTGTGTGAATAATCCTCGATGCTTTTAGCTTGGGGCCCCCCTAACATAAACTTTAGAATTTGGTTGGGGCAGAAGCGAGTCTCCGTGTGGGAGGCATGATGTGCTCAGGGCCGAGACTCGGCAGATTTCTAGATGACTCTTTCATTGGCTTGACCCAATGAAGTGCTTTAGATGAGCAGCGAGCTCACATACGAACCCTGCCGCTTAGAAGAGTTTGTGCTTCGCTCGCATGGACCTGGAAGGGGAATTCCATTAGCCTCATGTGTGCGCTAGATGTGCAGACCGTCACGGCGGGCCCAGAAACAAGTGCGACTATTGCTTCATAGACTTGTGCAGCAACCTTTAGCCTGAAGCCTCGCACGGTTTGGAACCCCGCAGGTGCTTCTTCCACAGCAGCCCCGACGAACTCCGAGCTGGTAGATGATATGATCGATAATGTGGCTTCTGCCGCCGCTGAAACTTATTAAGTCGAATGTTGAATCCCTACTCAAACCCTAAAGCCTTAAACCCTAATGCCATCCCAAGGCAAGTTCAATCGATCGAGAGATGAGAAGCGCCAAGTCTTCACTGCGTGTGCCACGGCACTAATCAAAAGTCTACCGTTGTGCTGTTGCAGAATCCTGCAAACTCGAACCCAACATAGTCAGCCAAGGACGCCTGTGGCTCCGTGCCAGGACAGCTTCGCAAGCTGGGATCCTTCAGTGGCCGCAACAATTCTCGAGACTTTGAGCGGGCCATGAAGTTGCCTGTGGTGGGGGATACCCAACAGTAAGTTCTATTAGCTCTTTGACAAGTACGTTCTAGGTCTTTGTCGTAGGGCTAGAGGGGTAAATCTTCGACCCTTGGATATTAGGCTTGTATTCGATTTTTCATTCGCTGAACAGGAACCTGTGTACATAGAGACTACATTGAAGAAGAAAGAGGACTCTTTGGACGAGGTTACCGTCAAGGTGCCAGTGCTACTTCCGGACCGTATATTGGCCTATCTGTTTGATACTGTGGGCATCGACATACCGCAGTCTGTTCTAGCACAATATTGGAAACATTGCAAAGAGTTCATGCCCTGGGCCAAACAGGAGGATCTGGACGGTTCCCATATTCCGGTTACAATCTATGGGGACACAGCGCGTTATGGCACAGGGTTCGATCAATCCAAAGTGACGGGCTGCTTCTTGAGTCTGGTATTGTGGCGGCCTAAATCAACCAGGATGAGTCAATTCTTGCTCTGGAATTTGAATGGGGAGCGTAGTTTGGGATGGAAGAGTCACAACCCGCTATATTTGGCTGTCGTGAATTCAATGAACAAGGCCTTTGAAGGTTTTACGTGGGAGGGGGCACAGCTGAATCGAAAGTTTTGTGTCACTCAAATCAAGGGTGACTGGGAATATCATTGGCAAACGTGGCGGTTGAGGCGGTACTACAAAACTAGGTTTATCTGCTGGCGGTGCGATGCTGAGAATCACGCCGATGCTGCACATTCGATGACCGATGTCAGCGAGCATCCAACTTGGCAGGCAACAGAGCTTTCCCATAATCAGTTTGTCGTTGAGGGTATGCAGGATAATCATGTATGTGCCTGAGCAGCAACTACCGAACCTTTTGTTTCAAGTAGGATGGGATTCAGAAAGAATTATATAAGGAATCCAACAACAAAGGTCCGTTATTGGGCTTACGGTCGTTCCACTTCTCGATGCTATGCCATTGCAGCCTTCACAACATCAACCTGGGTTTGGCCCAGGACGCTACAGGCTCAACTTTGATTCCAGGCTTTTGGGTAATCTGAAGTCTCACTATAAATCTAAACCCCGAAACCCTAAACTATGAATTAATAATATTAATATATTATTTTATATTGGAAGCTTAGGATGTACTTGATTGAGAATGGCTACTTCGGAGACCCGAATCCGGACATCCACACTCTTCACCAGCTACTTGTGGTGGCCTTCCGGGACTTCAAAACCTTCCAACGAGAACAGGGGCTCAAGTGTTCGCAACAAAAGTTTGTTCCCAACTTTGTTCCTTGGGTCGCATCCAGGACAAGATTGTTGCAGAGTGGAGCATGACCCCATACAGCAGTAGCTAAGTGCATCCGTGTCGTACATGTTGAATACTGAACCCAGGTTTGGAAACCTGAGAAGCACGGTGCACACATGGCCCATAAAGGTTATAATGGTCGAATAATCACTATGTGGCTTGGCAACTGTTTGGAACTGGCCGCAGAACGCAGCACAGTGTCTTCTCGTGATGTTGGACAATGGCTACGCAAGAAGCATGATGAAGAAGGGCAACCCTGGCCTGATGATGCTCCTCATGCCGACTCCCGCTTTCCGTTAATCTGCCTTGCTATGCTGCTTGGAACCAACCTTGAAAGTTATCTGTCATGCCACCCATTGCTTCCCAGTAATTCTACTAAATCATAAACCAAAGCCCACCAAGGCAGTCGCTTTGCCAATGGTTCCATGAAGTCGAGGCGAATCCGATGTACCTGTGGCTCGGCTTTAGTCCATTCCTAGCGCCTGGAGGGATGTAGGGCTGGGGATCCAATTTCTTTGTGGGTGGAGTGAGGACGGAGGCAGCTGCAAACACCATCTACAAGTGCGGCATGACATATCTTCGTGCACACGTCATGTTGTGCAAAATGAGTATGAGGACTGCTGCTTCCCTCATGTACTGACGGCTCGTGCTCGCTATCTATGTCACGATTTCCCGGCAGGATGCAAAAGCTTCATTGGCATGTGCGACCGAAGATACACGATTCTTGTCTGCAAGACATTGATCCTAAATAGATCTTTGCATTACATTCCAACATGGGTTTCGGATTTCTTATCCTAGGCTTTTGCACACCAACTTCGTGACTGCAGAAGTCGCCGTGCCGTGGCAAGTATGAAGCCTCATAAGCATACGATCATAACTGTGCGATACTGATACAATTTTATTGCCTTGCCGAGGGTTCAATATTCGGCATCACCATACCTACAGGGAGGAGGACGCTATGAAATGGCTAAAATGCCTCTGGGCCTATAAGCTTTTTTTGTGAGGAGCCATGCCACCATTTGCATAGTAATTATCAGCACAAACCCTCGGACAACCAAGGCGTCGCGCAGTCGTGCGACAAGAAGCAATTCGAGAAATCTGTAATTAAGTTTGGGCGGTGGCGGCTCAAATCGCTGCTACGCAAATCCCGGATTGCAGCCCTGAACAGAAGCGCCCGCCATCGGAAGTAAAACATTGTCAAGCGCACGTCTCCGAGTCGGCGATGATGTTGAAGGCTTTGGCGCTGCTGCTGCTGCTGCTGCTGCTGCTGCTGCTGCTGCTGCTGCAGTCGTACTAGGATTTATTTGAATCGATAATTTCTGTACTAGATCCTGCAATCCCTTAAAGCCTAGTTTTCTGCGTGGGTTCAGTTTA